CCTTTGCCTCCAACCCTAATTCTGCCGGCCTCCTGCCCTGATCTTCGTGGGACAGCCCCGCTTCCCCCAACCTTTCTTCCCGGCGGCTGGTTCTCCCTTCCCCCTGCCGCCACCTCCTCCCAGCCTGCCCCGCTCTGCTCCCCTACCGGCAGCCATGCTGAGGCCCGGTATTTTTTCCCACGGCCCAGTACCAGGCCGCGACCCATAGTTTGGGAAACATTGTTCTATACTTTATTTTATAGGACCCAAACATCCTGTCATTAATGCACAATTTCATGGTAAATAATCCTGATTTATACAGTAATAATAAAAAATACAGCTACTTTGGACTTACTGAATATAGCTACCCAACCTTTGGATTAGCTAATATTACTTGATATTAGTATCTGAGTTGGTGTAAAATTGCCCTAACATAATTATTCAATCTCATGGTAACAATTTAATTTGCAAAGCCTTGTGATTACTCTGCAATTATATGCTAGTCACCAATCAATGATATCTACAGACTTTGCCCTGTATTTACAAAGTGTGTTGTGGTTATTTCAATTTGTAAAGTATCTGCCCCAAGGAGCTTGCAAATGTTCTTGTCCTGCTAACTGTATTCATTGAATAGATGAAATTCTGTGAAGTCAATAGGAGGGCTACAAGATTGATCTCCTGGTCAGACATAGAGGAGACACAGATATTTATCCAGTGATGGGAGAGCACAGGAAGGTTTTTGTCTCATGATTGGTGAATTACTAATGAAAGGTTTAGCTGAAGAATCATGTTTTGAATTAAATCTGGGTAAATAAAGCAAACATACTTCCACACCTGTCATCTGTCTGGAGCAGGGACTATTTTCTTTGTTACTTGTACACGCAAAGCCTAACATACAGGAGACTTTTTCCTTGAATCGAGTCCCTAGACACAACTGTAATATAAATACTCATAATTAAATGAATTCATGTTAGCTGACTTTATTTGCCATTGTGTATTCCCTTTCTATGATCAAAAGAACAGCACAGTCAATACATTTCCATATTTGTGCTGCAGGTACTTGGATGCTCTTCCAATCAGAGGACAGTAACAATGCCATGTGTCTTATCCATCTAATCATCACAAAGCAGCATGGCTTGAAGACAGAATATTCACAGTTGATTTGAAAAGAAGATTGTCAAATACCTTTTTGAATAATGAAAATATCTGGTGCTGTCACAATCTGCTGACAGAGATGGTGTGAGCAGGCAAAGAGTTTACATTCCCTGAATAAATCCCTCTTATAAATTATTTTGTGCTATACTTTGGATTCCAAGTGTCGAGACCATTGGGTGCCCAAGAAAAAGGAGTGATATCGATAGAAGAGGAAGCCTAAGAAAAAACATAACAAAGAGAATGAATGAAAAAGCTACAAAGAGGTACGTAGGCAAGCAGTTTGATAAGTATTTATACAAGTTGAACCTCTCTAGTCCGGCAAACTCTGGTTCAGCAACATCTGTGGTCAGGCATCATTTTAGTTAGCCAGATATCCACTTATCAGGGGTGTGGACAAGTTTCCCACTGTCTCATAAACTTTGGTTATAGCCACCAGTTCTGGCTCTCAGTGTTCTGTGCTGTTATTTAGTTCTAATGGACCCCTAAATGTTTTCTAAGAGCCCAGTAAGCAGTGGAAGTGTTGGCAACACTGCTAGACAACATTGATCTCCCATGGTTTGGCAAATTCTCCTGATCGGCAATAGTCACATCCTGAGGCTGCTGGACTAGAGAGCTTCAACCTGTACAGTGAAAGAGGAAAATAGTAGACCATGAGAGCAAAGAGGTGAGCTGGAGAAGAGCGATGCAGGACTTTGAAGGAAAGGGAGAGAAGCTTGAATCTGAAGGTGAGAAGAAGCTACTGAAGAAATATAAAGAGTTAAGTGCCACTGTGGGAATGGCATGAGAGCTACATGAGTTTTGGCAGCATTTTATATCGACAATAATGGGGTAAAATGGGATGTTGGTGTTGCCGGCAAGAGTGAGTCTCAGGTCCGACACTGGGTTCTTAAAGTACAAAAAACACTACACAGGTATCTATCAAATACAAGTAGTTTATTTCCTGACAGCTATCAGCTGTGCCCTTTAACTAAAAGAACAACATGATAGGAAAAGTGGCATTTTTTACATCCCTTCGGCTAGCCGGAAACCCCATTTCGGCTGCGGATGAAGTGGGAGACTGTCTCAGCTTCCGAGGCACCGGTATCCAAAGCCCATCGGTGAGGTCCAATTTGCTGTGCTCTGGTGCAGCTTTAAATACTGTGTCTCTACCTTGTTTGTGGCAGTTTGGAAATATCCCAGGGTTACGCATTGCTTGTTACAGTATGGCTCAGTTGTACTGCTTGTCCTTTGACTTTGTTTAATGCTCAGTACATTTAGGTAAACAAGATTGCTATGCTTCCGCCCTTATCTACAATTCGTTCTTGCTACAATGGTGTATGTTCCTAGAGGCTTGCTTCTGGCTCATCAGTAGTAGGGAATGGGGAAGGAGGGAATGCAAGGCCTCCCCACCCCTATACTTCACATGTACAGAGTTCTTCCGCAATTGACCCCTACAGTTGGGAAGGTGACAAGAAGGTGAGACAAGAGATGACCAGGGGTTTTATATCAGGGATGGAGATGAAAGAATGGATTTTTAATGAGGCAAAGGGGCGGAAAAGACTAGATTTGATGGGAGCAGAGCTATGAGAAGGAAAATTAGTCAAGTGAGCCACAAGGGGAGGACACTGCAGTGGCACTGATAGGAAAGGAAGGATTGGAGAGGTTGTGGGCAGAAACATGCGCAATAGGATGCAAACGTGTTTCAGTTCTCTCTTATGTACATGAAATCAATGGACATGCCACTTAGCAAAACCCTAAAATTGTTCTCTAAATATTTTTAAATGGCTGATTCCAGCTCGATTACATCCTAATATTTATGGCAACGTTCAAGCCAGACCATTCTAGAAAATGAACCCTTGTTCCCCGAGTGACTCTTTTGTGTGCTTGGGGACCATTAGTTCACACCCATACAATTTTTTTTTAAGAAACCCGTCCTCTTCAATGATACATTTCCTGCATTTTCCCTTCCCCCTCCCACCATACAAACCTCTCATTAAGGGGAATCATGTAAACACCATTCAAATGCTTTTCATTTGCTTTAAAATTCATTGTTCACTAAAAGGTAATCAAAGCCAACGTAAACACAATGGTCCCATTTTCCTGATCCTGACGTTTCATTTACTCAAGAGCTCAAGCGGTCACACCGGCACTCTGCCATGCAGCCATCCGCCTGGATCTCCAAACCACACCAAAGAGCAGGCTTACCACTGCTAGCCATTGTTACTAATTGTCCTTCAAGATACTTGAGATGAATTACTGAGGCTTCCATTTTCCTGTTTTTCCTTTCTCTCTATTGGGTAAAAAAAAAAATCTTTCTACTTAGAGGACCTGGACAGAACAGACAAGTGTGGCATTGACTGTTGACAGCACTTCATAAGAAAACCCTCTGACTGCAAACGGTCTCATTGATATGTTCAGCTTGACATGTTAGATTGATTTTCTGATTGTTGAACAAAGCTGGCTCATTGTGCGTAGAAAAATGTATTACTTGTTTTCATTACCGAAGCTGAGTAGTTTTCCCACTAACACTTCCGGAAGGTTGGCACTAATAAAATAATGTTATGTGTATATTGTATATTGTAGCGGGTTCAACTCACTTTCCACACGGCTCTTCCCTCAGGGTGGATTTTGGGGAAGTAACCGGCTGCTCCGATGACGACGCGCCCCCCTTTAGGTGAGGTGTTCTCTTCAGGGCACTGCCCTCCGGCACTGACCACTTTGATCTTGGTCTGCGCCCCCTTCCGGTTCTTCCTCAGCTCCTCCTCCAGGGTCCTCCCTACTCCCTAGGACTCCCAGTTCTTCTCCCACTCTGCCAGCCCGGTTGCCTCATGCAACCCTGCCTTGCGGACTTATGGCCTGGGGCTTCCCTGGCTCAAACTCCCCCAGCCTACCGCAGTTGCCTCCTTGCGAACCGCAGCTGCCTCCTTGCAGCCCAGCCTTTTAGGGCTGCCTCCATACGAGCCCCACCCTCCATGACTGCCTCCTTGCAGCCCTGGGGCCTCAGGCCGGGTAGCCTTGGTTTGCTAGGCCGAAGCCTCTCTCATTGCAGGCAGACAGGCAGGTTTCTCTCCTCCTCCCAGGAGCTGCTCTATATGGCCTCCAGCTAGGCCCTCCTTAGCTGCCTCGACTGGGCTTCCTCCTGACTCCAGGTCTCAGACCCTTAAAGGCTCAGTACATGGCAACACCCTGCCACAATATAATCTTAACAAATAATCCCAGATCTGATGTACCCCCAGAAGACTTCTGAGTATAGGTATACTCACTCCTGGTTATGGTTAAAAGGAGGAGAGATTTCCTCCAATGTAAGTGTACAGCATCCTCTTGACTAACATCCTCCTTTCCTTTGGTGCTGACAGCCAAACCTTAGAGGTGCCATTCTCCCATCTGTTCTGCATTCCCTACAGCTATCTTCAGTGTATGACTGTCTGCCATTTTCCTTGAGCTCTCTATCTTCACATTCTCTCTGATCTCCTCGCCTGCCGCCAGTCATCATAAACTGCTGTGATTTGCTAAAAGGGCTCTACAAAGGACACTCACTGGCCTTGTTATACATACTAACACCATATCTACTGTCTGCACAAGTATAGGCAGTCCCCGGGTTACGTACAAGATAGGGACTGTAGGTTTGTTCTTAAGTTGAATCTGTATGTAAGTCAGAACTGGCGTCCAGATTCAGCCGCTGCTGAAACTGATCAGTTTCAACAGCGGCTGAATCTGGATGCCAGTTTCGACTTACATACAGATTCAACTTAAGACCCCCAGGCATCCCCAAGTCAGCTGCTGCTGAATCTGACCAGCAGTGGCTGAATCAGGACGCCTGGGGCAGAGCAGCTGGGGTGCTGCCAGTTGGTCCCGTAGCGCCGCTCTGGGCGCTACTGGACCAACCCAGCAGCACCCCAGCTGCTGTACCACAGGTGTCCGGAGCAAAGCCACGGAGCACGGGGGCAGCGGGACAGCCCAGACGCGCCGTGGCTGTCCGCTGCCCGCGTGCTCCGCGGCTTTGCTCTGCTTTGCCCCCCCCCCTTCCCCCTGGTCTGCAGACCAGGGGGAAGGGGGGGGGGCAAAGCAGAGCAAAGCCGCGGAGCACGCGGGCAGCGGACAGCCACGGCGCGTCTGGGCTGTCCCGCTGCCCCCGTGCTCCGTGGCTTTGCTCCGGACACCTGTGGTACAGCAGCTGGGGTGCTGCCAGTTGGTCCCGTAGCGCCGCTCTGGGCGCTACTGGACCAACCCAGCAGCACCCCAGCTGCTGTACCACAGGTGTCCGGAGCAAAGCCACGGAGCACGGGGGCAGCGGGACAGCCCAGACGCGCCGTGGCTGTCCGCTGCCCACGTGTTCCGCCACTTTGCTTCCTCTCCCTGGTCTGTTGGAGACCAGGGAGAGGTACCCCGTTCGTAACTGCGGATCCGACATAAGTCGGATCCACGTAACTCGGGGACTGCCTGTATTTTATTTAGCCACAAATAAACGAGGAGATTATAAAAAACAATTTATTGAAAGCATGAAAGTAGGAATGAGAGAAAAAATGTTTTTGTGGCTTAATTATGTTTAAATCCATCAAAGTTCACATGCAAAAGTTATTGGGCTAACTGGAGAATAAAAGTCAGTTTTCAGCATTTTATTTGTCATACAATTAAAATGTCCCATCTGGATCTAGTTACTCCTTTAATTCAACTGGTAGATGCTTATGGTTTTTGGCGCTGATAATTCTGGGTTCTATTACCGCTGATGACCTATTGCAGGGTTTCAATATGAGGGATGGCTTTCATGGAACTTTTCTAGGCCTCACACACTCAGGCTGAGCTTTTACTGTTGAGCAGTCTGTAAGACATTGGGTAAGATTGGGTAAACATGTCTCCTTCTGGTGGATGGCCCAGAGTGGTCTACTCTGAGTATCTAACAGAGCTATTCCTTTTTAAAAAATGTACCGTATGCTGCCAACATCTTGTTTGAAAGCTTTAAAGTGTGACATGTGGAAGGGAGGAAGCATAACAACTTCAAAGCAAAATAGCATACACTAGACTAGGAAGATTGGGTTAAGGTACGCAACTCCAACTACATAAAATAAGTAGCTGGAGTTGGCTTTCCTTAAGCCAAGTTTGATGCCATCTTCACAGAGGAAGGCCAATAGGATTAAGCACTCCCATTGGCTCCCCTTACTCCTTTCCTCTGTGAGGAGTACCAGCGCTGACCAGCCACTCTCAGGTTTCAATTTAGTGGATCTTAACTAGACTCACAAAATCAAATGCCAAAAGATTGATCTCTGGAGTGGCAAATGAAGACATG